AAAAAACAAATGAAGTACAGTAAAAGTCTTTCCATAATGCTATTTTAGACTACAAAATAAATAGAATATAGTACTGTTTCATAGAAGCCTAGTAAAAATGACTGTGCTAGTTACTTTACTTTAGCAGTAAAAACAAGCACGAAACACTTAAAAAGTGAAATCACTGCTACTTTCCAAAACCACTGGAATGCAATTATGATCCTATGGATTTTAACTACTGAAGAGCACTGTTTCCACAGTAGTCCGAACTACAATTCCAGACTTACAAGTTAAGACTCCATAGAGCTGGGGCAAAAAAGCAAACTCCTGTACCCGAGAAGTTTAGCTGTAGCCCAGAAGAGTTTATGAACTCTACTGCAACAGAGCTAGAGGCACCATAAAGCTGTTCATTTACTTAACTTTTAACTATTTTTTTTAATTGCGCTCAGACAGAATTTATCTTAATTTTTTACACTCTGTAAGACAAAGGCAAAGTCTGATAATAAAAATTAAGTCTCCAGATTTTATTTTCTACTGAACCGTGTTTAATAGCAAGCTTAAAAGATCTTAAGTGCTTTGTAGAAGAGAGATTCCTAGTAGTCTTAGATGTAGCCAAGTTTGAATCAAACCAGAATTTCAGTTGAAGAGACCTGTGACATATGGTACTTGATTATAGGGTTTCATTTAGTGACCCTAACAGTTGTAATAAATTACTAAAATAATATTTTAGTGTATTTTATTAAAATAAGTTATCTCAAAGTATATTTAATCTTAAATACATGTTTTGGTAAGGATTCTTGAGTGAAATTACAGTGGTGAAACATAATATGGATTAGGAACCTAAGCATTACAATTTAAGAATGACACTTTTCCATCTGTGAGCTGAAGACTATAAATACAGACTACTCATTTTAAATATACATGCAGCTATGAATAGTTACCGTCAGCAATTAAAAACTAGCTTTTAAAACAGTACTAAGTCAGTACCCATCATCACGGCAGCACAAAATGAAAGACTGTGCAGGACACACAGCTCAACCCAGACCCTTTTTTTAATATTAAAAAATATATTAAGATACTGCAACACATGGACATTTTACGGCATGCATCCAAAATAACAGACATGATAAAGACAATCACCAACCTAGATCCTCTTGAAAGTGGCATTAAGTTATAGAAGTAATAAACTAATGACAGGATCAAGTTGCAAACAGCATCTACTTCCTAAGCAAGAGAAAAAGTGAATTAATATTTATTATTAATAATAATTTAATAACCAGATAATACCATATAAAGGAACACAGATTGGAAAGTCTTACAGTACCTGTGATTATTTTTTTTCAAGAACCATTTCAAATGTGAAAAGTGTCAAGATGAGAAGTTGAAGTCTGATTAACAGATGTTTAAGCAAATTATTTTGTTACATCTTTAAAATTTAGGTTCACCTACATAGTTCACCTACACTGTTTAACGTTAAAGGATGAAAAATGGAAAGCACAAGCTCAAATGTAGACAGTTTCTCCTTGCAATACAAATCAATAAAAACGCAATTCTAGTGTTTCTCATGAATTTGTTTTACTTCTCATCTTATAAGTAGCCACCATGAGTCAAATCCTAAGCAGTACTTGTAAGAATGACGAAAGAGTGAACACAGACCCATGACAAAGATTAAGGTGGGGGAAGGAGGAGAAAAAAAAGAAGGAACACACTGTGATATTGAGACCTTGTCCGGACTCTATTACTGCAGCCAAGCATAGCAAATTTTAAAGTAACAGATACAATTATGGCAACTTCTTATGTTATTTGCCATAATTGGGTTTAACCAAGTGGTCGATTTTATTTAAGCTCTCTGTCAAAAATTATTAGTGACTGTCAAACAGAAGGTATAAAGATATAGTAGAGTTTTATCAAGGAACTCATCATTTCCATTAAAATAACCTTACCCCCAGCTCTGCAGACAGAATTAGAATTTTTCCTTTAGCTGTTAGATCCTTATATAGTGCATCTATTTCTGCATGATACAGCTGTGTTCTCTCTTCTGTTGTCTGAGTTTCCACTGAAAATAGTATGTTCCCCACTCTATCAAGTAGATGAAAAAAAAGGACGTAAGAAATTTTTTGAACAGAACTTGATGCGTAATTTCATATTCAGAGTAAGTTAGAAATGCACTACAGTTAAATACCACATCATAACCTTTCTCCTGTAATTTTTCCTTGCACAAGAGATTATGTGCATTGCACCATTTCAGTTAAGAAAAAAAAATAAATCACTGAATTAAAAACGCTTTGTCACACTGTAATTTTGTCCAAAAGAATACGTAAGGATTGCTGTCTAATCACAGATAAAGTTTCCATTGAAGAATACCTGACAAGCATTAGTATTTCACTTAAAGTGTAGGTAAAAAATAATAAACACAAAATTTTAAAATATCTTCATGAGCTTGAGATTTTTATATAGAACGTGAAGTGTAGTTTTGTTAACTTTTAAACTAACAAATGGAACTGTGTTGATATAAAAGCATAGTTATAAAATACGTATAAAAAACCACAAGATTGACAAAAGAACAGTTTGTGCAAAGTAAAACAAAGACTGTTTTACTGACATCAAAATATTTTCCCCACAACAGTGAGGCCATACATTTAATGCCATTTCACTGTATATAGGCATATGATTTAAAATGCAAAATTTAAAAGCAAGATATATGTTAGCATTTTAGAAGAGAAGTTTGGCTTCCAAGCCACTCATTGAAAGCACACAAGCTTTGGGAAAAATTCCAATGTATAGAATTTTAAATCCCATAAGACAAAGTTTTTAGTTAGTAGGACAGAAATTCTGAGCTTCGGATTAATACTTATTCTTCAGGAAGACAAAGAGCCAGTATCCATAAAGTGAGAAATTCACTCTCTCATCCAAAGAGCGGCCCAAAGCCTCCGGATTTTACCGTCACACATTCAGGTACTATCTAAACTGGCATTTGGAGATACAAGGTCTGCAAACAACTCAAAAATAAACATAAAAAAGGCCAAAATTCCAAATAGAAGAGCGTCTCTTCCATTCTTAGATCACAGAAATTTCCATTCCATTCAGGATTTTTCAGTCACCATAACAGACAATGCCTCACAACACGAAATGTATTTTGATATGGATAAAGATGGAGATTTTTTTCCCCTTTAGCCATTTTATAGTCAAAGATGAATATCAAGGCCTCTCTTCATTTTTGTGCTATATGATAGAGAATCATCTCAACTGGGCCTACTCCATCAATGTTATTCATATTCCCTCTTTGTTAGGGAACACAACAGGAATCAGAAATCCTCAAATGAACAAATTTTTTAGTTATTTACAAAAATGCCACTAGAGAAAAACAAAACCCACTTTATGCAACAAGATATGGCATTTGAGAAGATTAACTGCTAATGTTTCATCATTATTTCATGTACCTGAACCCCTGAAAATAGCAAACATACTTGTCTCCTGTTATTGTAATTGTGAATCCATCATATTCTTTCCCTTGATCCTTGAGGCTGGGGACTTTTGTGTTCACAGTAAACCCATCTCTTGTTTTACTGTTAAACTGCTTTCAAAAGAAAAAAAAAAAGTAATATTAGAGAGAACAGAGACAGACTGCCTAGTGTTTTGAAACATCGAAAATACAAAGAACAGAAATGAAAACGGACAAACTGAGGGAATAGGTCAAAGAATTACTGTCAACTACATTATCTAATTTATCCTTTATTTCCTACTGAACAGAAATCATAAATATTGAATGAGGTGTATTGACATTCAACTTTGTAACTATATAGTGAACAGAAAGCAACACTGTTTATGAAAAGCAACTGTATAAAGCAGTTCGAGTTGTACAGATTTCTCCCCAAGCTGCACCTTGATAGGAACCTTTGGTGTAACAACGTAAATGCAAAAGCAGGACGGAGAGTGTTTTATGTTTACACTATGAAGTAGTTTGCATTACTCTAAGTGTGGATTCCAAAACACAGGTCACAGCAACAGTTTCCATTAATGTTTATCCTTATCAGAAGGAAAAATATCACTAAGTTTAAGAATTTTACAGCTTCATTATCTAATGAATCAATTAAAGCTCCATTATCGGAAAAATATCACTAAGTTTAAGAATTTTACAAAGCTCCATTATGTAAGTGTAATGCTGTAGCTGAAGAGTTGTATAAACCTGGCAAAACTGTATTTAAGTAAAGCCAAAAGCCCAGCTTTTGACATATAACATTCCCCAGCTACCCAAATAACCACACTACATCAATATTAGCAGACATTAATTTTATATAGGTACTATCAATGGCTATTACGCAATAGTATTGAATGAATTACTCAGGCAATTACTTATTTTAAGATAGAACTCATGATCTAGGATGTTTTGTTTAAAGAGAATCTGTATTTATTTCAAAGAAACAAATCTAAAAGCCTCTAATAAGAAACAGCATTCCTCTTTGATACAATTTGGAATTGGATACAGGAGATTCAAACCAGAGCAAAATGTACAGGTTATGAAAACTTGGAGGAATATTTGCTGCCAGTTAAGACATTTATTTTGAAATAAGTCATGTACAGTCCACTATGTTTATATATATTTTCATCATCCTCTTGGAGTAACCTATATTTTTAACTCCACTAACAGCAATTTTTCTGGCCTACAATTCAACAGGAGCTATATTAGGTGCTCTAGAGGGTCCTGTTTCCACGTTTGTGTGTCAATAAGGAACACAATTATCCATCGACTCCAATATCTACTTCATTGCAAGTTTTTGTTTAGGCTCAGTTAGTACCCACTTGGCTTCATCTTTCAAGGCCAGTGGACAAGACAGTAATATAAAAAGTACCTCCAAAATTATGATATGCTCTTTGAAGACACTTATAATAGTAACACATATTAAAAAAATCCCATAGAAAATATTAGTGCTTGGGTCATGTAGCTTTTGTAAAGATATCTGTAGCGCACAAGTGAGCGAGCACTACTACTACCATGAACAAACCCAAACACAGACAGTCTTATCAGTAGTAGCAGCAATATATCTTCACAGAGCTGTGTTCTGTGGCAATCCATCAGCTTTACTTAGACATGAAATTGCAACGTGGACATGCCTGATAAGAAAACACTGAGCTTATACGCATTTAGAATGACTGTTTCTTCCCGAATTTTATTCTATTCGAAATAAAATCCTGTCCTGTCTCTTCAAAAGAAACACTTTCTAACAGTGTTTCCCCAAACCCAAATACTTGCTGCTCATCCCAGATTAATTTGGGGGAGTGGGGGAAGACCTTTTACTTAAACCCAGCTCAAGCTTTATTACTTAAGTTGACATAAGAGTAGAAATCATTTATGCACATCATATATTCAAAGCTTTTCTATGAAGACCACCACCAGCAAGAAGAAAACCTGCAGGTTTCCCCACTCATTTTCTGACAGTCTTCCAAAGCGCAAGAGCGTAAACCAAGATTTGATTTCAGTTTAGCTGTCAGTCACTAGGGGCAACTATTCCACTGTTTCTCCCTGACAGCCCCGCCATGTACTGACCTGCATCAATGAACCTAAGGTGAAAAGAGCTTCTATATTCCTAATCTTTCCGACACACATCTTCCATTTTTTCCTTCATACTGTACAGGCATACTGTGAGTCTGTTATGGTGGATCTGACTACAAACCCTCCCAGTTGATAAGGCTGGCTTCAAAGAATTACATTCAACATTTTGTTATCCCGTCATTTCTTTACCAATTCACCGCTACACCAAGCCTTCCAAATACACATCACATGCCTGCATGTATCGAAGGGAAGGTCATACCCTACATATGCGGATTTGAAATTAACTGGAAACACTAACGCAGATTTTCATTTTAAGCTTATACACAATGCTTATATTCTGAGGAATTGCATATCTTCCAGAGTACATTTTATTATTTTTATCGTATTTTGAAGTTTTTCTTTAATTTACCTTCATTATGGGAAGAAGATCTTCTACTTTATGTACCTTTTCCAAAGCTTCTCGAACCTCTAATAGTCCTTTTGGATTATTAGCACTGGAAAAAAAACCAAATGGAATCACAATGGTTGCTCATATGTTGCATTTCTGGAAATTCATCTAGCTTTAACCTAATCAGCCATAGTGGAATAAGTTATTGAAAATTATTTCTTTTCTGAAAATTAGTTCCTTCATACTTGGCCACATGTTATCCTATTTTTCAAAAAATAGTTTCCTCCTATATCAGCTCAGCTTATTTTTTTTCCACTTCAAAATTCAACTTCAAACTTCAGGTTTATCTTATTCATTTGCTGTTGGCCACTCTAAAGCATTCAACTGTTTGCATGAGTGTGTGTGGGCAGGGGGTTGTTGATGAGGAAAGATGGAAGAACAACAGAGTTAATATTCGAAATATTATTCTCAAAATATATGGATCTGTGTATCCTCAAAGGTACGTAAATACTACAGATGCAGGCACAGCTGGACTGTGAAGAAACCTCTTGAACTAGTGCTCTAATATTTACTAATCACTGTGCATCCAGATTTTAAGAACAGAATTATTTTAAAAGTCACTGTACAAATTGCTCTAGTTTAAGGTCAAATGCTGCTGGCTGACTCTGAATGTTCAATTTCTCCGAATAGAGGACAGACTTTCTAGGTACTACAGAATTTACATATCTTCAGCAACTATGATAAATTTTCTAAAACTTAAATGTTTTCAACTGTTGTAAGGATTTTCTGCACTTTCATTTTTTGATATTTTTGAAACCCAGAACTCAATATTTAATAAAAGTTACCAGGCCAAAGGAAAATTAGAGGGTTTAAAGCTAAAAAAGTTTTTTTTAATTTTTAATGTTACCAGAACACTGTTGCCACAAATGAGCCACAGGTGGGGAAGACATTTTAGTCACAAAAAAATGATCAAAGTTTGAAATAGATGCCAACACCAATTTTCAGATTACCTTTAGTCACATTCTTTCATTCAAGATTCTACAACTGTCATCTGTTCCAGGACAAAGTCTACCAACTCATCAATTAACAGGTAGTAAAGATTCTTTGCTCCTTTAAAACTACTCATCAAACACCAGTTTCAATTAAAATTACCTTCCATATCTTCTTATGTCTTTCCTCACTCCTACTATTTAATAGATTAATCTCAATATTTAGAGAAACTGCACTCTATTCTACCAGGAGGAAATACAACATCTTTAATAAATCACATTTTTCGAAAGAATTGAGACTCACTCATGCCAAAACTGTGAGTACAAATTCAACACTTATTAGTTTCAAGGTATACTGTAATCTACTTAGGTTTCTTTACATGGTAATGAACAAGATTTTGCATTTCCAATAGTATTTATAATTGTCTTATTTCCTAAGAAAATTAGAACTTACTAAAATTAAGAAAAATATCCCTCAGACTTTCTGAAATTAATATTATGTAAATTTCAAATCAGTATTACCTCAGTGAAGCAGAGGAAAAAAAGAAAAAAATCACTAATTTACCCATGATAGACAAGGATCCTATCTTTGATAAAATGAAGAATTTTCTCAAAATATTCCAAGTACCGCATGTTAATGACTTGTCCCCTACAAAGAAAAGAAAAGGTTTTTTAAAATCTCGGTTTTCCACTCAACATGCCAGGGCTAAGACAAATGTTACTCATTAATACCTGACAGAATTTTATCCACAGATGCATTGTAAATGAAAGGAATGAATAAGAGGTTTGTCTGAAGTGATGAACTGCCCATCCTCCATTTTGAATATAGATTCCATAGTGAACTTGCAAAAGCTCATATATGATTAGTGGTGGTGTTCTCTGATAAACTACATTTTATGCATGTTTCCCCATTTTCAGCATGCCCATACCTAGTAAATCTTATCTATATGATAATTATTTATCTGTACAAGGATATAATCTCTTATTTACACTCATACACATTGCAGAACTAGGAGAGAATTCTCGATCTGCACATTGATTTACTTTGAGAACCAACACACTCCAGTTTATGTATTTGCCAATACATATGCCGATCTGCTCTGACAGTTCACATACATTCTTCTTTATTCACCTACATCCCTTTATATTGAAGTAATTTTGCTTTGAATCCTAACAGTTACAAGTAGTAACTGTTAAACAAAAACATCAAAAAGGTGAATTTTTTTTCCCCCTTGGACTACTAAGAAAGAAAAACTACATTAAAAACTTGGTAGAAACCTGCTAGGATAATAAACACTCTGAGAGGAAAAATTACATACCATTATTGCATTTGTAGGAGTCCTTCCTCTTCTCCCAGTCTACAAAACAAGATTTTATAAAGCAAACGTTATCGCTCTCTGAGGAAGCAAAACCACTGTCAATCACAGGAAGGTGTGTACACCTAGCTTTTTTTCCACTCCAAGAGATTTTTGGCAGCTTAAGTCCCTGTCTAGTGTCTCACACTTAGGCCTACTCTCAGAACACTGGCAAAATCAGTCTTTAAAAAACGAACACAATTAGAACACAAATACATAGCTGCGCATAGGAAAGGGAGGTAGAGAAAGCAAAAGGATGAAGACAAATGTGTACAGAATTTGCCCTTGTTGTACGTCCCATCATTTTCCATCTGTATTAAAAAAACCACATCTGTACAACAGGCAGAAGCGTGTCAGTATAAGGATGTTCCTTTAGTGGCATCTTGGAAAATACAACCAAATCAGACCTATCATTCTGTAAGGCCACCTAGAAGCAGTAGTACCAGAAGAAAAGACTTCTGGTGGGTGGTCAGAAGTGATCTGTGTTTATCCTCACTCTTTCTCCTTGTTTAATAAATATAACCACCAAGAATTCAAAAGCAGTAGTTCTCCAGAGATCATCTTCATCTAATAAGAATATTGAGCATATCATTAATGTTTAGCTGATCCCAAATCCTTGTTTTGCCTATGAAAATAACTTAAGCTTTCAAAAATGTTTTCTCTACTTTAAATGAAACTTAGTAGCTTTGATCATTTAAGCCAGAAAGGAGATAAGCCAGTCACACTTGTCTATAGAAGGAGTAGTGACAGCCGATACCCTTGTATCTTGAGAGTGTTAAGATCTGGAAGCTTATCAAACATTGTGAAGCGCAAGACGTTTCTTATGCATCTTTAACAAAAGGTCCCCAAATTGACTCAAAATAAACAAAAAGTTTTTGTTTTTCTGGCACTCTCCAAACGTTTTGCCACTCTCGAAAAGAAATCTTTATTCAGCAGTCATTGAACGCTAGTGCCTCCATGCCAAGGCTCATTTGATCGGAATCGCTGAACAGTAACAGACTTTACATGCAAAGAATTCTGAGTAAACAAAGAGGTTATGTTGACAGATATCTAATCCAAATATTTTTGCACACAGAAATCACTGGTGTACAATTTAGACCAAAACTTAGAGACAGCTTGAGCTCAGCATGACTAGATCTGTTATGAATACCAAAAGAACACCCAGCTGTTATTGTTACACTCCTCATTTGACTGAGCGGCTTATATCTTTGTATATTTAACAACCATGAAGGCTGCCATTTGTCAACCTAAATAATCTATTGTTACACCTGTTTTCCAGGTAGCTATGCTATAGAAAGAATTCAGCCTTAGTTGTACAGTTATGAGAATAACTTTCAAATCATAAGCCAAATATAAAGCAATATATGTCTTCCTGAAAGACAGTCAAAAGACCATAAAGTGATCTCAGTTATCAACAAAAGGGTGTTAGCTGTGTAGCCTATTAATATCTCCAATCAGTAGCCACTTTACAGTTGAATAATGCAAGAAGGAGATTATACAGATCTGTATAATGGATTAAGAGTAAATTGTCACTTAGAAATCATAATAGACTAGAACATGCTTCAAAAGTAAAACAAAATAAATTAAAAAAACTATTGCCACTTAATATATTTATTTTATCCCTCATCTCATGTGGAATCATTGGGAGGGAACTCAAAAGCAGAAATAAACTACTACAGAAAGGTGACCAACGACAGTAGCTATTACTTTGGATGCAGAATGCTCAAACAAGTACAGGTTTCCAGAATCAAAAAGGATGCAATCACCATCCAGTACTAACGAATGATCAACTCCTAAGGCAGCAGTATTTACACTGCTTCAAATCTATTGTTTCTTCCAAAAAGTGCCCCAATCAATAATTTTCAGACAACCACTATCTAGCTATCAAAAAAAAAAGCACAATCAAAACGCTGGTGAAATCCCCAAAAGTCAAGGTCAAGCCAAAACCAAAAGGTTGGAATTAGATTCACCATGGGCCTATCATTCTGAATATTTGCGAAGCTTATTTCAGATTTCCATGACATCATCAGAACACCTGGAACAGTAAATCATGCATTTTGCTAGCATTCTCTGATGGGAGGAAAACAAGTAAAGTACTTTGGCCAGTGAAAAACAGAGTTCTGATACAGAGATCCTGTACAAGGACACATTTCCCCAGAATAAATGTTCAATGTTATTTTTCAGCATGGTAATCAAGTGTTGTTACACTTCTGCCAGCACAGAACACCTAGAAATTAAGCTTTTACTCTCCCACCTAAAATAAAGCCAGGAAGAAACAGATGAAGTATGGAACGCATCCTTGTCTCAAAGTACAGATGGTTGCAGTTTCTGCTGCATTGTACGGGCCAGAAGAGAGAAATGCAGCAACAGCAAGAGCTTGGACGTCAAATGTAAAACTTGGCTTGAGGGAAGACAGAAGCCTAAGCATAAGACTGTTCAAGAAGCCATACATCCTGCAAGACACTAATGATCTGCATGGAGTTTAGTGCTACATTGTAACCACTCTCTAAAGTAAAGCAGAGGCTGCTACGGTCCACTGCATAGAGCGTGGACAGAGTCTCACTAGCCTCTGTATGTAAGCACTAGAATATCACTGTTTTTCTCTGCCTGAAATAATTCCTGAGAAGGCTTTGCTTCCTTTATCCTCCTTTTTGCACGCAGCTTCTCAAAAAAGGAAGAAATAGATATAAAAGCAGAATGACAGATCAAAGATTCAATACTTCCCATGGGACTCAGGGGAAGGGAAGGAAATAAGATGAAACCTGGCTACATATTTACTTACACAAACACACTCTGCTCCTGTGATTGACAGTGATGTTGCCACATTGAGTCTCTCACACTTCTACCACTTCATGGGAGGTAGTACCATCATGACTACAACACTGCGTCTTGCAGCATGGGAGAAGATGGAACGTACAACAATGGTTGAATCTTTTAAATTTTACCTTTGCTCGAAAGTGCAACTGTTACCTTTCACAGGTTATTTATTTTGTCATTTTTGCTTTACTTTGGCCTGCTTTAAGAACAACTAAAAGAACTATGTTTTTCCTCTCTATTGTAAATTGGTACTGAAGGTAACAGAACAACTTTGTTTCATTACTGCTGCCACTATCTTTGAGAAGCGGCATTTGCAAAAAGTACAACTGTGATGAACTTAATCTAATTTTTACATTTAAGGCAATCTGGAAATTAAAAGCAGCATGTAAAAATATGCACCTTCTAGGTCCCAGTTAGATCTTGCTATAACTCAGCTGTATAACTGAAACTCAGGAGAAAGAGGAAGTGTCATGAGAGAAAATTTGAGGTGCACAAAACTCAAATGCTGAATTAGAAAATATAAAATAGATATTAAAGCAAAATGATAAGCACATATACATTCAATACTGTAATATGTTGTTTCGTGAACAGCCTTTAAGTTTTGGTACAATCCCTCAGTGTGTTGGGAAGTCTGTTTGGTAAAACTCTCATACCTGATTAAGTTAATGTGATTATTGAAACCTCTGCTAAGGCTTCGGGCAGGCATTTGGTCCAACCAAAGCACAGGCTGGTCAGGGTCAGCTATCCTACAAAGACAAAGGACATTAATATTGGCACACATTTCACTCCATGTAATATTTTTAATTGAGCTCTGTTCACATACAGAATAATTTTAGGCAAAAGCTAAAATTCAAAGATTGCAAAAAAGAACTTTTTGCAGAAACACATGTATGATTTTCCTAAGAAAAAACCCAACTCACAAGCATTTTATATTGCTGGAGTTTGAAACTGTTAGTTTTTCTTAGCCTAAGCGGCAATGTATCATATGGTCTTTCATAGCTTTGCCTGAACCAGAAAATGCTATTCTCAACCCTCATTTTTCTTCTTTTTTTAAAAGAGGGGAGTCTTTTCAGAAATGCACTCCCTGTATCGAAACCATCCTTCTCTTAGCAGCACACTTTCTAGTTAACTGCTGGTAGCAAGTGCTCATTTTCTCCTCTGTGACTTCAGCCCTTTGGTTAACTGAAGCACGCATCATTACTACAACCAATATAAGGCTTGCTCTCTCTCTTCTTTTACCATTACCTTCGCCACTTCACAGCAATATCAAACATATCTCTCCACTGCATCAGTCTTGTTTTCCCATTCATCCGAACTTTTGAGTTTGCCCAAGTCCGCTGCACAGCTTGCATTACTTCTAGAGTGGCCAAACCCATTGCTGGGTATGGGGGAGAGGAGGAGAGAGGAACAAACAACAACAGAAACAGAAAACCAATTAGAGCCAAACATTTGTTTTGTACAGATAGGAAAACTGAAGCAGGAAAGTGATGTATTTACAGAAAAAGTATTGTTAACGCTAATAAAATCTGGAAGATTATGATTTCCAGACCCCAACTAGGTCAAGAAACTGCTGACATAAAGACTATTTTAATTTAAAACTTTTAATCTCATTTGAAAAGAACAGAGCATAAAACTAATTTGCAGATAGCAAAGGTATAGCATTCAGTTATTACCACACTAATTTTTTTTCCCCACTCGAATTTACAGAGTATTTTCAGTATACCTCTATGTATTCTTTTATTTGGAAGAAATCCTGGTGTCTCATACTGCATCATGGAACCCAGATGATCAGCTACACATATGAGTTCCTGCACATCAGGCTTGTAGCTTTCAAAATTCTGAAATAACACATCTCTTACAGAGGAGAAAAACATGCATCAGACATAACTTGGCAACAAAAGCCCTGAAAGTTGTAAAACACAGATTTGTTTGTCTTACAATCAAAATAGTTTGTGCAAGAAATACTTAAAAGCAGTATAAAGAACACTCGTTCCTCCTCCCACCTCACTGAACACAGACAGTACATGGCAGTTACGCTCAATCTCTCAAACGAAATCCCGGTTTTAGTGAATTCAGCTGCAGATCTTACTGCCACAATCAGTATTTCACCTTCGGACTTGCTCGTAAGTGACACTAAAGTTCACAGATAATACATTATCCTTCAATGTTACACTCATCCTTCGGAACTTTAACACTAAGTAAGAAAAGAATACATATAGAAACCAGAAGCCTTATTCCATAACTTCTCCCATAATTCTGTAAAAGCGTCTTGTGCTAAAAAGGTGGATTCTATTCCATATACTCAAAAGCCATAAATTTTTATCACAGCAATTTTTTACATAATGTGAATACACGAAAATATATCTAGAAACTAGTTTACAGGAGGAGAAATTGCTATCTTTCTTTTAGCTAAGTATTTTTGAAGCCTGTTCTAATAAATACCCTGCTTTGTTGATTGAAATCACTCTCTTCCTAAAATACTGGTTTTCTAAATTTACTCCAGAGACTATTTTTTTCCCAGCAAAATCCGGTTGCCATTAAAAAAAAACAAAAAATCACATTAAGCATCCAGGAAGTTACATGCGTAACAAAATAAAAACTTAACACTCAACAAGAAACTGTAATAAGGGTGCTACATATCACTACACTGAGCATCTCAAACTTATCAACTGCTTAACATTAATTGCGAGAAAAAGAAGAAATAGAATAGTTAATCACTAGGGCCATAGAATATGAAACATTATGTGAATTACTATTCACATAATTGATTATGAGAATTGATTACGTGAAGACAGAAGTGAAGAAAATCATCCTAAGTTTCATTCTTCCTCTGTTATAAGCTAAACCAACTCAAATCTCTATGATTTTGAAAAGGATTTACACACTCAGTGGAATTCCACTTTCATATAGTATTAAACATTTATGCTGTATAATGCCTCGGAATAGCACTTGAAAAAGACAAACTGAAAACAACATTTGGAGCAGGCATTAAAAAAAACAACTTACTTTATATGTGGCTGTAACCCTGGCTGTTCTTCATAATTTTCTATAAGAAAAGGAAGATTTTTGGCCCAGTGGTCCTTGAAATTTCCAGGAAGATCTATATCAATATTATACTCTGTAAGAGGGGTATCCAAATGCGCATGCAAGTATCTAGAATACTCTGGAGGAAAGAAATAAAATTAAATACTGTTTGCATAATCAGCCTACTTACGTAATTACATAAAACCAAAAAACAGATTATATGTTTGTCCATTATCCAACATGACTTTAATAAGTCATTACCCTTAGATAATTTAATTTTGCTATTAGCTAATTTCCAAGACAGAAGTAAGTCTATTTCAACTAAGTATAACAACACTTAACCATTATACAGAAGCGTATATTTAATTTGTGGTCCTAGTTTTTAACTGTATGAACAAATAAGAATTGGTGTACATTTTTTTTAAACAGACTCAACAATGCTCATGAAAACGTTTATTTAAAATGGCCATAACTACAAACATGCTTTCACTTTTAGGGTTCTCAAAGAATTTAAGAAAATTTAAAAAAAGAAAAATTATTCCAACTTACCTCGAAGGTATTTCACTTTCAGGTACTCTGGGCTGGCCTTCTGACCTGGTAGTGGATCATTCAACATAACTTTCGTTTGAGCTTTTATACCTTCATAAAACTGTCCCATTGCAACATGGCTGAGACCTTTCATGTACTGGCATACTTCATTGTATGGTTCTAGCTGTAGACATCTCTAGAAGATTTAAGGAACAAAACATCCATAAATCAAGAGAAAGAATGAGTATCTTCAAACAAACCAACCTGTTTGGTCAGAAGACCGCATGAAAAGATTACTAAGATTCACCTCTATCATAATTTTTTTTCAAATGATGCTGAACATTTAAATTGTGAGCAAATGTAAGAAGAAAAAAAAACCAGTTTCAGCTTCATAAAAGGGGGAAAAAAAAAGGAACTGCCAGTGCATATATGCTTTTGATCATGCCTTAATTGTTATGAAAATAGATCATGTTTGCTCTAACGATATTAGCACTACAGAACTTTCAACATTAGTTGAATGAAATTACACAAAACATACTCCTGACAATATTACTAACAAATATTTATTTTTGGCTAGTTCAACACATATTTCATGCCATTTCTTCCATCTGTATCTTTGCCTAGTTCCTGCATTAGTACGCTTCATTATGTTAGTCAGCTATTTACTGTATGTAAAACACAAAAATTCATATTTGTAATTCAAAAATTAATGCTCTGATTCTTCTAGCAATTACATATCTTTAGAGAAGCATCTACATCTTAAAAGTTGAAATATCTTTTCCATCACACCAGTATCTACAAATCATGTTATAGAAGGTGAATATATAATAATGCACATAAAGTGTTCTCCTTGGGATAAGCACACACTCATTCAGAAAGGGACGTAATCGTTTCCACATCTTATTTCATTCCTTGTTTTAAGAATATGGACATATGATTAACACACACCTTTATTGTTCTGTCTACAAAACGAGGCCGTTACTTAATGCCAATGGAGAGAGGCAAGATTTTTTTTAACATATGGAAACACACACATTTTTACAAGGTCAATGAATCGCACATATTTTGAGATTTTCAAAACAAATACCTCAGAAAAACTAGATAAATACTGGAACTTTGTATGCTTACTTTAAGCTTAAAATTATAAGGAAAACTACATTCCTCCTTCTGTCACATATGAAAAAAACCTTTAGGTTTCAACCCAAACTAAAATATTAGCAAGAATACAATCACAAGTTAAAAAAAAAAACATAAAACATTTCAACTAGAGCTTCGTTTCAGAAATTCATAAAACAGTTAAAGGAAACATTTTAGTTCTAGCAAAATTCCATTTTTAACTACAAACTGTAAGGTTTCATACATCTTTTAAGACAAGACCACAAAAAGTAATTTCTGTTCAAATGCACATATACATATTTACTTAGGGTCTGCTTACCTTAAAATTCTTTAGTGCTTCATCCAAGCTACCATGATGATAAAGCATCATTCCTTTGAGCTGTAACGTCTGAACATGATTTTGATTTAACAGCAAAGCCTTCTGGAAGCTCTCTGTAGCAGCATCGAAGTTGCCAAGTTCTCTAGACGATTCCATAAAGTGGAAAATGAAGAATATAGAAGGCAATAGTGACAACAAAATTATCATTAATAATTAATCATGGGGATTATCATTAAAGAGGAACATAGTACAAATGGAAAATTTCTTTCACAAAAGCAGTAATTCTGCAACTGTTCCTCAGTGGTAATAACAGAACAGCTGCACAGAGTTTTTCACTCCCAGAAGTGTGTACTCCAAAATACAACCTCGTAAGACCACAAATCTTCACAATTCTCAGGAGACAAACCATAAAAAACACATACCTATGGTATTTCTTCAGAAACTAAAAGAAACAAAACTTTCACAGAAAGCATTCTTGGAAAACACTATCTATGACAGGTTTTTTAATTTCTAAATACAAACACATTTTTAAAAATATACTAACTACTTAAATGCTTAACAAGAAAGCATACGGTGTTTGAAAGCTGAAACTCAAAATGTATTGACTGGAATTATTCCATGTGCAAGACAGCTTTTAGTAAAAATAGCCCCGGAGAAACTATCATGAAAAAAAAATTAAAATAGAAATAGTACACAACTTAATTTTTCTTCATTTTTTTTTTAAATCCAGTACAATGATTTTATAAGTTTAAGATCATTAAGTTCTTTCCACAAATTATATTAGATGAAATTAACCCAAACAACAGCAATGCCAGAAAAAAACAAACAAGATTTACTAGTTTTAAATATATTTGCCAAAAAAAATTTTTCAACAGAACAGTGATTAACTACAGCTCTTTAGTTTCAAATAAATGTACAAACACCAAAGGCACTAGATCTGAAGCAGGAATTAATAGCTAAAATGCTACAACTCATGTTGTACAGAAGGACAAATCAAACTAAGAATTGTCTACTTCCACTATAAAAAGAAGTCTTTAAAAGGTATTTTTAAGCATTGCATTTGAAACTTATTTGATGCAGGAGAACTTAGAAGACAAGATTTTAGAAAGAAAGAAGAATTTAACAGTTGATGTTAACAGTGCCCTGGAGAAATAAGATTATTATTTCTGCCTGTTTTAAGACCTGAGTATTCACAGGAAACTAATTCAGACTTATTGCTGGTCACTAGTTACAGTGTCCTCAGTTAACGAATATTCTGTTCAACTTCTGGCTTTCTCTAACTGCTGAGCATTTAGAAAAGTCAACAGCAATTGTGTTCTGTACATTAAGTTCTTAAATTAAAAAAAAAATGAAAAAGGAAGAGGTAGATTTCTTTACATTCCTTCCCCTGTATTTCCTGAGGAACAGAGAACTTTTGGAGGCAGGGGACAGTGAGAGGGAATAAAAGGAACATATTCAAGCTCATTAGGAGTAAAATAATGCAGTGCAAAATGAGACATTAAGGCTTGCTTTCTTCTCCCTCCTTCAAAATAAAAATTTTTCAGACTAAGGTTTCTTGGGCACAGGACAGAACAGCTGATCAAGTAGAGAGGCAGTCCCACATTCAAATACAAAACAAAAAAGTTAAAGCACTTATTGGAAACGTAAGGCAGCAACTGCCCATCTTCCAGGCTAAATTATTGACTATTATTTAGCACCTTGAAAGTACTTACACACCACAATAACAACTACCACAGAAAAACTCATGAGGAAATTAGTGACTCTATATCGAATTTACATACTGTGGTAAATAAGGCACAAGTCCACAAAGTGAAAAAAAAAAAACCAACAACAAAATATTTAATTGACACTTCCTTCAGTGAATTTTGCATATTCTGTATGCTGAAGGAAGCATAAAATCTGAAGAAAAAGAGCACAAGATCATGTAATGCTTGAGCACCAACTCTACCCAACTTAACCCTTGCTACACAAAAGTGATCTATGTTGCAGCAGCATCTATGCTGTAGATCAGTGCTTGCCAAAAGCAAAAATGTAAAACAGGAAATAAAAAGCTGGCAAGACACAACAGGTTGGGAAAAGAACTACTAGGGGCAGAGATATTCAGTTGCTGACTATGCTATGTTCTTGCCTTATTATATACAAGCTATATGTACTTTTCTCCTTAGTAATTATCTGCAGACCACCTTTAAAGTAATACATATTATTCAACTCTAAATTAACTTATTTTATCTTTAAAGTAAATTTAAAAAAAGAAAAAGCTTACTAGTTACCTTACTAAATAGAGATTGCTTTTTCTTTAATTATTTAACAGGTAAGAAACTACATGTCTATATTAAAATACCCTAAACAGGAAATCAGCTGAATTCTCAGAAGTATAAATCTCTGTAGTGACAGATTAATTGATACGGGATCTCGCAGTTCTATAAAACTATACACACTGTGCAATGAGTTCGTCATAAACTTAAGTGGTACAATAATCTCAGACGGCAACTAATGCGCAATACTAATCAACAGTCCACATTAAACATTTCCCTCATGTAAAAATAATTTCTCATTCCTAAAACACATCTTACTGAAAACTGCCATTTATCTAACCTTTTGAGTCTGGGAGACTCAAAGAGCTACTGGAGACTGAATTAAAAATGCAAAGCAAACCTAGAAATTATTTATATTGAAATATTGTGACATGGCCTTATTGCCTCTAGGAGGTACAAAACCACATACGATTCTGCAGTTTTGTAACAAACGTGTAGAACTTAGAGAGTGCATTTTACAGAACACAATCAGACAGAAAATTGACTTTAAACCTATTTCTGAATGCAATTACCTGTAGGCTTGTCCCAGACTTTTATATGCATCTATGAAGTCTGCTTTCTGCTTCAGAGCTTCTTTGAATGATTCAATGGCTTCCTACAGAGACACCAATAGACAAACTTGTCACTTAACCACACTCGTTTAATTTTAGCATCCTCAGTAACAATTCAGTTATTCATCAAAACCTTCAGAAGGAAAAAATGAGGCATGGATTTATGACAAAACCTATAGAGTAATCATCATATAACAAATGAAATATTGCAACATTCTTTATGGCAATGACAGATTTAGCTGGAATTCCTTTGTCTAATGTGCTATGGGAATAAGTGATTCTTTTAGCATTTTAACAGAATTCAGAGAAGAAATCCCTTCAGAGTTTGCTTTCAAATCTCAGACTGGTCCCTAAGGCAAAGCAGTCTCTCCTTACAGTCTTCCTTCTTCATTCATAATACACCTCTTAATTTTTGCAGTCAGAGACTCCTTCAAATTTGTACTCTGCCTTTTATTGTTTTATTGCATTCTGTGTTAGTTGCACAGTTAGAAAACACTCTTGAGAGATTACAAAGTCATCATCTTCACACAATATCATGTACGCTTCTGCGAGGAATACAACATAAGAAAAACAAAATAGCTAAAAATAGTTATACGCATATGTTCCAACAAATCTTCCTCTTCAAAGGATTTGATTAAGAACACAGGTTTTTAAACTGAACTGGCTATATAAATTGGCAAATGCAGTACTGAGACTTAGAACTAAGGATAGAATAATCAACTACTTCATATTATGAAGGAATGTTTGAAAAGTATCTTGAAGTCTACCGTACAAGAAATTAAATGCTGTAAGGAAAAATTTAGAGATTCAGTCAATTTAGAGATTCTTATTCAGAAAAACTATCAAATATATTCTCATCACTACAATACGCACAAAAATCTCTCTTGAACGAAAATATAAGATAATCTCCTACCATTACAGATAGGCTCATGTGCTTTAGATAAGTTTTAAATCCAAGATTACTCCCAAAAGCAACAATCTCTTTTCACTCAGAAATGAACACTCTGCTGCCCCTATCCCAAATCTCAGTTTTCAGCAAGCCTGGTAAAACCTAACAGATGACATGTATAGCCTTCCTTTAAGAGCAGTCTGAATCTGACTGGAAGCCAAGGTGTACCTGGGGATGAAAAGCCACTCAGTCACAATCTCTCAGAATTCAAATATTTGAGAGGGAAGGCACTTCCTTTGAGAAAAAAAAATTGAGGGGGAAGGAGGTGGTGGTGCAGAAATGTGTTGATCTGCATATGAGAACAAAGAAAACATTGCTTCTATTTTGCAAATTGAGACATTATTTATCATTGTCAGTTATATTTCCACCATCATTTTCTGGGCTCTCTGCTGCCTACCTCAAAAACCAGAAATTTAATCAGACTGTTATTTGCAAGTAACTCATTTAACTGCAATAAGATACAGAAAGCAAGTTCAATGACAGCCTGAAGTTCTCACAGCGTACACTGAGAGTGTGAAAAAAATACTAGCTTGGGTACTGAGAAAATGGAAGAACCTACTTCCCTGCTGATTTTAGAATCTAAGAGACTATGTTCCTTCAATCTAGATACAAGCATTTTAGAATCAACATATAACTGAAGTACACATGCACAGATGCAGCATAGTCTATCAGCAGTTTCCTTTATTACCTTCTAACTCATTACAGAAGAATTTAAAACTATTTTCCTCTTCGTCCCTTTCCCTTTCACAAAACCTAGGGTGTCTCCATTTTACGGAAAGAAATTTTGAATGTAAACATACAGATATTAGCAGAGGTTCTAAATACAAACATCTTTCAAAGCACTCCAGAAACACGTCCTTTATCACTGATTTACCAAGATCCAGAGAGACCAGCAGTATTTACATGTCATACCATGAAGTATTACAGTCAGCAATGACACCTTCTCATTTCGCTTGCACTCTTTTGCCTTAACAAGTCCTCCTTATGTGAGAGAAAACAAGTATATCAACAGCTATGATATTTCTACTATCTTATAGAAGTATTTTCAAATAGAGGGTATTGTTCTACATGAACTATTCTTTAACATGACTTTACCTTCAGAAGTCCTCTGTGAAAAAAGGTTAAGCCTTTATAAAGCATAGCTATAGGCTGATTTTTGTTCAGTTCCAATGAGTTCTGAAAATCTTCATGGGCTGTTGCATAATCCTGTGATAAAGTAGATTTTAGATGACAGAAGTAACACCACACAAATAAAGAGGAATATATACTTTTATTTTCATAAAAGTAAACTACAGAATTTTGTTTAATATATGTAGTCAGTCTCAGGGCTAAGCAGCAATGACTGTCAATTACCAGTCAAAATACACTTCCAACTTTTACAGCAAGTGCTACATAAAACATAGTAAAGTAAGTGGAACAATAGCTGGAAACAAAGTGAAATCAGAAGAATAAAATGGGAAATCGGGTTTTTTGTATTTGCACAATCTTTGAAGATAAGTTAATTGTTTTACATTAAAGTGTAAGAATAACACACAGATTACATGGCAAAATAGGATGTTAGCATTTTTGTAGGGTTTTTTTGTTTGTTTGTTGTGTGGTACGGGTTTTGGGTTTTTTTTAAGTGTATAGGGCAGTTACTGCCTTGGAAATAACTGTTTACATTTTTAGACTGGCATTTAACAATACTACTTCCATGTAGCTGTAGGTTATAAATCAAGTCAAATTCTTTATCCACATCCTACTCCCCCAAATACACAAAACAATATGAGATGTGCATGCAAGGAACTTGCCCTCTGATTCTCTGATTAAACAGATCTGCAGATGAAATACTTGAAGAATACCCCGGAACTATCAGAAAGTCAACTACAGGAAAATCAGGGCTTTTGTTATTTTGTTTTTTAATTTAAAGAGGAAATAAGCTCTTGAACAAAAGTAACAAATGGCACAAACAACAACAAATTGATCAACAATATCCACACAACCAAAACCAAACAAACCCCAAAATCCACTAACCTCAGATATGAAGTAAAGGGTACCTCTGTGCCTGTAGAGCCGTGCTGATGGTTGTAGCTGAATAGCTTTGGTGAGATCAGATAATGCTTCACTGATTCGTCCTAGTGGGGACAATATCTAAGAGTATAAAACAAAAACATAGTTCAGGCTGAATAGATTTGGTTTAGAAATATGAAGATTATTCTTTCTCATGTTCAGCTATAACAGAGTGACTGTATTTGCTAGAACAGGCTAGAAAATTCTACTGTAAATTTCAGTACTTATTGCTTTTTAACTCCTATCAAAGGAAAAATCTGAAAGCATTTTTCTCCAAAAAATATCAGCGCACAGGAACATCACTAGTAACATTTGCAGAAATGATTTGCAGAAATCCAGTATTCCAAATAAAAACAAGTCTGCCAAAGCAAAATACTCTATTTCAAGTTATTTCAACACATTCAACTGAAAATGCAATTAAAGTACTATCATAAAAGGTTTTTTTTTTTCAAAAATATTCTCCCCAACAGAAGATGGCCTACTTTCCAATTATTTGAATGCCTTTCACATTATCAGATCAAGACTATTAACAAATCATTAAAAACATAAAAATTGTGAATTAGATTTCATATTATGGCAGTTATTACACAGTACGCTGACTTTAACAAATATTCATGCTTTTGGTTTCTCTACAAGGCTGCTTCTTGAAATCCATTTTCTGTAATTTAATTGGCAAAACAAAACACAATTTTCAAAATTTAATGATATTTAATTTATATGCATGGATATAGAATCAAAACATTTGACTAAAGACTTAGTCTTTACAAGTTTAGCATGTTACCAACTTGTCCTAACAAAAAAATTTACTGAGGTGGCACTAAATGCAAACAGTATGGTTCAAGTGATATTTTGATTCATTTTATTAAAACAAACAAAAACAAAGCCACACATGATCTTGCTATACAGTATGTCAAAAACTAAACACTTAAATAAAATATATGCTATTCTATTGGCTATAGTAACTCCATATGGTCTATGTTTCATTTTAGAATTAAACATTCCACAAATTACACTGTTTGAGAGCAAATACACTTTAAAAGAAAGGAGGAATGTTCACAGAAAAACACAGATAAGAGCTTTAGTCATTAAATCAGCGAAGAAATACTTGAAAAGACTGTATAATTGCAACTTCTCAAAAAATTTGAAAAGAGACAAAAAACACTCACTTCTGCTCGCTGTTCAAATACTTCAGGATGATCTGGTTCTAGACTAATCACCCTACTGAGCTCAAACAGAGCAAGTTCAGCATTTTTCATATCCTGAAAAGGAGAAAAATAAACAAGGTAAATAACTGTGCATACTTAGAGCAATATACTCTGAGACTGAAGGACAACTAGATTGACTAAGTTTCTGAAAGTGTATCAGTTGACACTAAAAGCCCTTCGCACCTTTGCTAATAAAATTAAGATGCAGTATTCTACAAACAGCTGAAAAAAACTCACCTAACTCCTATAAACAAGAAAAATAAACTTTGCTTGTACACAGGATGTTTGTGCTGTACATCTAGTAATTTATTACTCTAACTCTGTGAATAAACATCAGGTTTACAACTCCTTAGGTACCTTTCTTGGCAGCAAAGCTGGCTCAAGCTCTCACATGAACTCCAACACAGGCGCATACTCTGACCCACTGGTGTTTTCATCAGTACTGTCTGTAACTTAATGCAAGTAGTACTGGTGAATGGGTTGATGCCGTCACTATCTGGCCTATCTAAATTTTTATATCGTCCTAAATTATTTGTAGGATGAAAGCAGTTACTTAATTGAAAAAAAAAAAAATCCCAACTAGTTATATAGCAAGTTCTGTATTAGATTTCATTGATCTTTTTCTTCTTTTTCAAGGCAAAGAAATTTTGCATGTGCTTAACATCATCTTTGTGTCTTGAAAGTGTCACTCACAGAAACTTCTGTGAAGTGAAGCTGTCTCAACATCTAGCCAAACTGAGAAAACAAACTCATGCTGGTGTTAAAAACATGCAAATACAAGGGACTTCAAGCATCTGTCAGCATCACTAAATAAATATTCTGCACAAAGGAAATTTTCAAGGAGTTACTCAACTATTTCTTCCAGAATTCCAGCAACCATTCAATCACAATTCAACAGGCCACAAACTCAAATTACAAAGACTGTGATCTACTTTTAAACTTACTTCTGCTCAGGAAATTCTTTGAGAAGTCAGCTGTAACTAAGTAAATTAACTTTGATTTTTTTTTAAGAAATTCAAGGCAGTATACATACCAAGAGGCATAGGCCATCAAGATGGAACACAAAGCCTACTGAATTGCAAGGGCTGACAATGTTTCAAAGTTGCAATACAAGACTTTTTTGTTTCCAAATACAGAATAGATGTGGAGACAAATTCAGTGAGACTTCATCAATCTACCTCTCAGAGGCAAGATACTGTCTGTTATCTTATTAGATAACTCACTCAAGTGGCTGTGGCTCCCAGCCTTACTACCCACCACTTAGACTTGTGTCTATATTCTCCTCTGGCACCCCTGCTTCGTGCTGCTTTACTTCCACAGTCCCACAGAGCAAACGTACCTATGGCTTGAGCAGTATGATCCACTAGATCTCTCTGTGTTATCAAGCACCCACAAAAGGATGAGCACATCATTACCACAGGACAGCACAAAGACTTTGGGATGTACCTATCACGTTCTAATCAGTCTAGCTCCTCCTGTTACAGACCTTCTTCTAGTTTGGATTCAAATAATTCAGTCAGATATTAATTTAAATGATTTGTATTGGGTTTGTATGGCAAGGTTTTGGTAGCAGGGGGGCTACAGGGCTGGCTTCTGTGAGAAGCTGCTGGAAGCTTCCCCTATGTCCAACTAAGCCAATGCCAGCTAGCTCCAAGACAGACCCACCACTGGCCAACACTGAGCCCACCAGAGACAGTGGTAGTGCCTCTGTGATAACGTATTTAAGACAGAGGTGGAGGGGGAAGAAAACTTGGAAGAGAAATTGCAATCAGAGAGAGAAGTGAGCATATGCAAGAGAAAACTCTGCAGATACCAAGGTCAGTGAAAGAGGGGCAGGAGGTGCTCCAGGTGCCAGAGCAAAGATTCCCCTGCAGCTCGTGGTGAAGATCATGGTGAGGCAGGCTGTCCCCATGCAGCCCATGGAGGGTAACAGTGGAGCAGATATCCACCTGCAGCCTGTAGAGGACCCCACGCTGGAGCAGGTGGATGCCCAAAGGAGCCTGCAACCCTGTGGAAAGCTCACACTGGAGCAGGCTCCTGGCAGGACCTGTGGACTTGTAGAAAGAGAAGCCCATGCTGGAGCAGTCTTTTCCTGAAGGACTGCACTTTGTGGAAGGGACCCACACTGGAGCAGTTCGTGAAGAACTGCAACCTGTGGGAAGCATACACTTTGGAGAAGTTCGTGGACAACTGTCTTCCATTGGAGGGACCTCACGCTGGAGCAGAAGAGAATGAGAAGTCCTCCCCATGAGAAGGAAGGAGCAGTAGAAACAAGGTGTGATGAACTGACCGCAACCACCATTCCCCATCCCCCTGTGCCATTCAGGGGGAGGAGGTAGAGAAATCAGAGGAAAGTTGAGTCTGAGAAAAAGGGAGGGATGAGGTGAAGGCATTTGGGTTTTTTTGTTTATGTTTTTTTAAATTTGGTTTTATTTCTCATTATCCTACTCTCATTTGACTGGTAATAAATTAAACTAATTTCCCCAAGTCGAGTCTGTTTTACCTGTGATAGTAATTAGTGAATGATCTCTCCCTGTACTTATCTCAACCCATGAGCCTTTTGTTATATTTTCTCTCCCCTGCCTAGCCAAGGAGGGGACTGATAGACCAGCTTTGGTGGGCACCTAGCATCCAGCCAGGGTCAACCCACCACACACTTATCTACTTACATGTAGTCCTTTTTTTCCATATGCTATCCCTCGTCCATAAATTGCACTGACCAGCTCTGGTTCTTCCTGTTAATATTAAAAATGAACACAATAATCAGTTGTGCGGTTTTTTTTATTTAAAAAAGGTATCTTTCTTCAATACATTTTTAATTCTTGCTGATCTTAAGTAGTAAGCAATGAACAATCACAGTCATCAGGCAAAGAAACTGATTGCATTACAGTCCATACTTTCATATGCTCACATCTTTCAACTCAATTTACTGGAATTGTTCTGGAGTATTTGTCTGGAAAATGAGCTAAACGGAGTGTGGTTGTAGTGTCAGTGACTACCTATCAGAAGCCGTGTATACACTGGTATAGTTTGTTGTACAAACTTCATTACTTGTAACCTTATTGGTAATTATACGACTTCTTTTGTCTAATGTCACTGAAGTGATAATAAGCTAATACAACTCAGTCACTTAAAGCTTGTTTTGTTCATAATTTAAATTTAAGATTTAAAATTAGGAAGCAGGAAATTGTGACATCCTGATGGAATTTCTATTCAGGCAGCAACTAAACCGAGAGGTATTCTGCCAAAGTATTTCTGCAAAATTCAAACAAGTCTTCCTTGTGTTAGATTTAAGTCCGTGGCTTTCCAACTCAGGCCCTTATGGGGACGTGTCTTACATAGTGAATTTACTTCTTGTTCAATGTTATTTACTCCAGCCACGGTTTCCCATCCAAATTTGAAGAACTACAACAGCAAAACTGGTTTTCTTGCCCCAAGTCAGTTTCCCTGAAAACCAGTATTTTTATGGCTAAGAACCTGGGACTACCAGAAGCATGAACGTACTTTTTGACCTAAACTGGTTGTAATACACGAATGCAAGTTGAAAGTAATACTGCAAATACTAGCTTTTTTTTTTTTTTAAACTTGTACTTAAATTGAGTGAAAGTGTAGCAATTTAATGGAATTATTCCAGGTAATTTATCAGAGGATTGGAATATTTTTTGTTGTTGTTTGTTTTAGGTGTTTAGTGATCTCTTAGGGTTCTTTTTAATGTGAAGAAAATATTCTGACATCAGCTTTAATTGAAGCTTTTAAACAGTGAGGGTTGGTTTTGTTTTAAAAATGGCTACCTTCTATTTTATAGAAGAAGATTCTGAATTCTTTACCTTGGTCAGAAAAAGAATTACTGAAGCACTAGTTACATATTACTTATATATTAAACTCATCAATTGCTTACCACTGAAGGATAAACCCAGCATACAAAATCATTTATCATCATGAAAGCAATGCAATACTTGCTACTAACAATAACTGATCTCTGTCACATTTTTTCTGATATTATTGGCAACATGCTAATTGTTGCCCCCCCCAAAAAAAAAATCCACATTAAAATATCTCAGCCTACACATCAAGAGGGCAAATAAAGGAACTTCAATTTCGCACGGGTCAAGTTTCTGAAGACCTTTTTTTTTTTTTTCGGTCAAAGTGCCATAAAAAGTTTATTCTACAGATGAGCAAAATAATCACCAAATCACCAAGATACTGAATCATCTGATTTTAAAAGTATGCTTATGTTTCGATGGAAAAAAAAACCACACAAAAATAATAGAATAATTACTCTCATAGAATAATTACTCTCATTTTAAAATCCTTAATTGAATCTTTGTTTCAGTAAAAGTCATATGTTGTAATGGATAATTTCATGAAGTGATTTTTTTTAGGAGTTCCAACAGAAAACTTACCTGCAGCATTGTTGAAAAGTGTCGTATGGCTTCATCATACAAGCCATTGCCAATCAACACGTAAGCAAGTGCTAACAAAAAATTACAAATATAAATAAAAGAACAAAAAACATTTGATTTTTTTAAATGCATTTTACAATTCAGTTTTAATTAATATAAGTTCTTACACTGCACAGAAGATTTAAGTAGTCAAATGATTTCTGAACTGCCACTGAAATGACTTCCTTCAACGACTACTTAGCATTCGTTAATCATCCAATTCATACTGTGTTCATCAAAATTGGTTTTGTGGTTTGTTTGTTTGGGGTTTTTTCTCTCCTTTTTGCAAGTTCAGAAAAGGGTCTATGTTTGCTTCTGAAGTACTTAGGACCAGGAAAAGTACCATGATCCCATTTAGCAGCCCTAGATGCTTTCTCAATTATAAGTGAGCCTGGCTAACACTGGCTAAATTTTTTTGGTAATTCCATTAGAGAACATCTGATTGTACTTGTTTGTACAAATTTTGCTAAACTTTACTAGCTCACAATAAGTTTTTCCTTCATTTGAATTATCTAGAAAAACAACAACTAAAGTGATCCCACTGTTTATAAAAATGAGATTGAAAAACTACAGAGTCTTTACCCATGTTAATTACAAAAAACTTTAAAGTTCTTGCATGTTCCCCTGCTTTGGAGTGGAAGCTGAGTGTTTGAAAAAGAAACAGATCACTGTTTTAGAAACATGTTCCTGTAATCTCCACAGGATACAAAAACACAGTCAAGTCACAAGACTGGAAAGCTGTGGTTGTGCTTGCATGACTGAAGTTCACTTCTAACAGCTGAATATCTCAAGATTGTTTCTCTTCACATGTTTTAATCTCACACTTTTTAACTCTGGACTAAGCTCTGTCTACACTGCCCACAAAAACCTAAGATCTTGCAGACCAGAGCTATGAAAGGTAAAGTACAACTTTCCCCACACACAGTTCACACGAATGGCTGACCGTGGAACTCAAAGCAGGGATTTACCTTTCCCCATACTTCTTATGAGTTTTAGCAGTCATCCAAACAGAATGGAAGAGGTGCCTATCAGCTTAATTATTTACTCAAACATGAGAGGAGACAAATAAGTCAGTTAGAACAAAGGTATTTTTCATAGAACACAGACACTTCTCTTTCATGCAGGCAGTCACATTGTTTTGTGAGTGCTGCTAAGCACTGTTCGTTAAAGGAGGAAAAAAGTTAAATGAAAGAGAAATAAGAAATGTATTTAGTCCAGAGCTTGCCTTGTTCTTGGAGCACTTCTATTATGCAGAAGGAAGTATTTGTGTGCAACACAAGCTTTTTCCTCAAGACATAAAAAGCTTCACTTGGTACAGATACATAGCATTGCCAAAAAAGGAAAGAAAATCGGCAGAGTGAAAGACAGATTGAAGAGCTCTTAAATTTTTCTACTTTCACTCTCCCCCGAAGACTACACAGTTCTTAGTATTATCTTTATGGTTCCAATCCCAGAACAGAGAGCAGTTGGCACGTAAAATGAAATCAACTCTACTATGCCAGTATTAAAGAAAAAAGTGGAGGAAGCAAGATAACGAAGACTCATTGTCAGCAGGACAAGGAGTTTATCTTGTTTATCCAAGACTTGTCAAAACACGGGATATTGTAGACTCTGTAAAACTATGGCGAATGATTGGCAGCTCGTAGCTGACTCAGTATCAGCTTCTTTTTAAATTCTTTGTTTCTGATTAATCTTTTCATCTTTAATCAAATACTACAAAAATACAAGTACTTTGTTATGAAAAAACTTAAGGGTTAACAACAGTCCATTAACCTAAGTATTAGAACACCAACATTGCTTCAGAATGTCCCATACATTTCACACTGCTTTTCCTCAGAACAGTTAAAAGTAACACACACAAACAAGAAGGATTCAGGCTCCTCACAGCATAACATACTTGAAATAAAGTGGGTAGGTGCCAGCCTACAGGCCAAACATGAGGATAGAGACCTTCTGGCACAGTCTTCTGAGTCTACAGAGCAGATACTAAAAGCATCAAATATTTTCTGCTGGATGGAAGTTCAGTATTTCCTGCAGGATTCTATGAACGTAGTTAGATATGCTAGGAATATGAAAAAAGATTAAGTCCCTAAATCTTCCTGGATAAATCTGTGAAGGTGGAAATTACATCCAAAAAACTACTCAATTGTTTTAATTTTGTTAGAAAACTTACGAGTAAAGTCTCTCTTTGCTCTTATACGAAAGACAGTCTGCTGCCTTCCTTGTGACACATCCTCAACCATCTCTTTGCTGCCTCATAATACCTCTGCTTCCTATAGAGGATACCAGCTTGGAGAAGAAGTGCAGGTAACTCCTTCTTCAAGTCCTTTGAGAAAAGTATTTACTGTTACTTTATTTGAAATACCTGCATTTTCTGCACTCGGTGTGCTTTGAAAAAACACCAAGCAGCAGCCTGTATAAGGACGTAATTCAGAAAGACTTCCTGCTGCTGTGTTGATGGGAAGAATGTGTGGAGAGGGGAAGACTGATCCAAGATCTATGCTTGACAGAAAGCATATTCCATTGATAAAATTTTCTGCATGTTTAAGTAGTTTTACTCATCAATAACGACAGAAAAAGGGAAGCAGGAAGTAGCTGAGACTATTTAAAAGGATTTGATCAAATTGCTTTCTGAACACCTGCTTAAGCAGACATGGTGAAGAATTCTAGTGAGCAAAGCAGAAGAACTTTTAGGAAGAGATATACATTTTCTTTGTAAGACCACAGAAAACACACTGTATTTTCAGGCTTACTGGGATCACTTTAGTTTCAAAACATTCAGTGCTAACAATTAGCACATAATTCACTTGCACAAACCTTATATAAGGTATCTTACCCAATTCTTCATTTGTGTTGTCATTATCAGTAGCAAATGGAAACCGTTTTTGCTCTGCAAGCAACTTCGCTTGGCTCTGTAAAACATGATGGTTTTAAGTGTTCAGCAAACAACAGTAAAGAATTTAATAGAAAACCCTGTCTTAAATTCTTTAAAAAAAAAAGCCTTAAATCAAAAAGTTAAGATTAATGTCATTGCTTTAAGGTAACCGAAAACAAATTCATTCCTAGTGATCCACAGGGAGAAAAAATTGCTCTTCAGTCAGGTGCTGCTGTTATCCTCTCTTAACATTAGGCTTATCAAACCTTTCAAATGAAAGGACATTGCCAGCATTTTACCAGTTGCTGAAGTTTCTATATTACATCTACTTAACATGAAGTTTTGAAAGTCTTTTTAAGACACATGCTACTGCCCCTCTATTCTGCTCTCGTGAGACCCCACCTGGAACACTGCATTCAGCTCTGGAGTCCCCAACACAAGAAGGACATAGAGCTGCTGGAGCGGGTCCAGAGGAGGGCCACGAAGATGATTCAAGGGCTGGAGCACCTCTCCTATGAAGACAGGCCGAGAGAGTTGGGGCTGTTCAGCCTGGAGAAGAGAAGGCTCCAGGGCGATCTTATTGCAGCCTTCCAGTACTTAAAGTGGGCCTACAGGAAAGCTGGAGAGGGACTTTTTACAAGGGCGTGTAGTGATAGGACAAGGGGTAATGGCTTTAAACTGAAAGAGGGGAGATTTAGATTGGATATAAGAAAGAAATTTTTCACTCTGAGGGTAGTGAGGCACTGGAACAGGTTGCCCAGAGAAGTTGTGGATGTCCCATCCCTGGAAGTGTTCAAGGCCAGGTTGGATGAGGCTTTGGGCAACCTGGTGTAGTGCAGGGTTTCACTGCCCATGGCAGGGGGTTTGGAACTAAATGATCTTTGAGGTCCCTTCCAACCCTAACCATTCTATGATTCTATTCTATGATTCGTAGGAAAGTTTATACTCTTTACCTCACTAATTATTCCTTTGTCTTCCACAAAGAGAAGGGTACTACAGAAGAATAAAATGCTGAAAATGAAACACTGAAAAGGGTATCGCTCCAGCACTAAAGAGAAGTTTAACTTAACAGTGCCACACTAAAGGAAGAAGGCCGTCCTTTTAACAATCACTTTTTATCAATTATAGACTTTGTTCAGCCAATTGCAGCCTCATCTAAGATTTCTGTTCCCCAAATAATGCACCTACAGATACCAAGACTGCCAAAGACAGCTCCTCATAAATATAGAAATACTTTACGCTGTTCAGTTTCACAAGTGTGTTCCATAGACAGCTGTAAATCTATGAGAGCAGTTGATGTTAGAAAAATACAAAACACACATTTAATTAACAGGTCTTCCAAACTGCTCTAGGAAGCAAGAAGGGAAAAACCCCCTCAAACATCTCTCACTGCTCAGTTCTCTTCTTTTGCGTCATCTAAACTACACACCTGTACATCTTTAACTTCAGGGAAGACAGTTAAACACCTTAAACTTCAAAGAACATATTTAACTCATCATTTCCTCTGCTGAGAGGACTACACTTTTTCCTCTTCCTTTCCACTTTTTTTGGTTTGTTTAATCAAAAGCAGCCTCGTTACTTGTATCCATGACACAGACATTTCAATCACAAAAGTAACTGGCCAAATCCCATTGTACAGTTTCTGGCCTGCTCATCAAATAATCTTAGGAATGAGAAAAAAAGTTTAGTCTGCTCTGAAAACTTGAATATTTTGGAGGGTATGAATGATTAGCAAATCAGATTTCACAAACCTTGTTTTTACTGAAATTAGAGTTCACGTATGAGCTCCACATTACACTGTAACATTCTGAGAATTACTACTCCACCTACTGCTACACCTACAGTAACAGGATAGAAAAGTTATTTTCTCACAAAAAAAAGTCATTAAAAACAGTACAAGAATAAGCAGGGTTCAACTGACATACCAATTAGAAAACTAAGAATCTACCTTGCAGACCATATATTTACAAATCACACATCTCCAAGCACAACTTTTTTGTATCTTCCATGGCCTTCAACTCATTTCCAGAAATACTACTTAAGAAAGCTATCTTCAACGTTTAATTCTGCAAAATGTTGTTCTTCTATAATTGTCTTACAGTTACCCTTGGGGGGAGGGAGGAATCACTTTTACTAAAGTACAACCTCTTCCTTGATGGATTTACAAAAAAGGCCTACACTTCTTTGTCTGCAGATAAGAGATAAGATATAGCAAGACTCCAGATGTATACTGGTGCTGGGTATTAGAAAATAAGCTACAACTAAAAGAATCTGGCCTTCCATTAATATCCTATGAATTACAGAGATGCATGTGACACTCAGCAAGAGATTACCACAGTTTTTCCCCCATCCTCATCTACATCCTCTGTTTTATTATCATAGAATAACAGAATAGTGTTTTGTTCTTGGAGTGGGGGAGGAAGGAGATTCATATTTCTTCCAAAAATTCTGAATCCACTTATAGGTTAGATACCCTGCAGCTCTATGCAAAACTTGTGAGTCATTCTGCCTTCAAGAAACAAGAGAAGAATTTTGATCACAGCACCAGCTCCCAATAGGTTGAACTGTTGCTCTGTTCAAAACAATTTTTTTTGAAACAGGAAAATTTCTAACAAGCCAACATACATTTCACTGCCTTTGAAAGAATTGCTGGTACTGCTAGACTAGACTAGACAGAAGATATGATCAGTATCTGATGAAGTAATGTCTAAGCAGAATCTTCACGTCAAAATAATTGGCTTGGTGGATTTGTAGTAGAGTAGTTTTATTTCTGAATGCCACCTTTGGAGAAGTTGCCTCAAATTAGAACATTGTTTCCATGCTTCCCCATAGCCAAAAATTTCCATACATTTCCCAAGGCTTCTTTGTATATGAATATCAGTAATATTTGAAGATTTTCAGTATCTGTGACTCTACTAGACTGAACAAGTAACATCAAACCTGTGTTCTGATGTAGATTGAATATTGTATCTGTTCAAGATCAGTAGGTTAACAATAGTGTTGCAAAAAAACCCAAATTCCAAAATAACCCTCTTGAAGTCTCTCTACCAAGAGATATTCTTCTTTCATTAGAATATTCTCCACATAGTAAGTCTCTGCTATATTTAGTGAAATATGGTCTGAACCCTCTCTTATCTGTGCACGATGTTATTTCCGTAGCAATTGCAAGTTATCACTCCTACTCTTACACATATTTTGTGGTAAACCTCCTCAAGTAGTTAATCTGAGTAAAAACTATTGCACCCTTCCCTTTTTCAGCCACAGCCCCTGCAGTCCTGAAATAAATAAAAAAGAAAAAAATGGCAGAGTAATCCAGGTGAAGGTTAGCTTTCAGTGGAAACACCAGCTTCAATTAGTTGAAATTGCTGACAGCTGTAGAGACTCATGCTGGAGTACTACAAAAACATTTTGTCATGAGCAACTTGAGTTCACTCACATTTAAGCCTTTTGGGAACCTGTGTCTACTGATTAATAGATCCTACACGTAGTATTTGCCTGAACTTCATTCTAACTGGTCATGCAGTTAAAGTGATTTGTGACTTAACAATCTATTAAAAATTTTGTACATTATATTCCTGATAGCCTACCAGAATTTTTTCTGTGTTGAGAGAAAGCACAGATTCACAAGATGAAGATCCTCCTATGTCACAATCCGATTCATGGAAATGCAAAAATGATGAATCTGAGGGAAAAGAGAGAAAATATCTTTAGGAACTCAAAGAGTTACGTGTATGTTCTATTATCACATCTCGCATTTCCTCATGTTCATTTGAGCAGCTTCCGCATTGGACCCTCCACAAGTTAGAACTTTCATTAAGTACTTTCTGCACACAGCACTACCACACAGCCAGGGAAGCAGTAGTTGACATGACTGCTTTTGTATAATTAGTTTTATCACCACTTCCATTTATGCTACTGGTTAAAAATACACAAGGGGAAAAAAAAAATTAAGGTGCTAAAAAAAAAAAGCCCACAACAAGGGGAGTGGAATAAAAAAGGAGGAAGCTGGAAACAAGTAAGAAAAGTTTGAGGCAGACATCTCCCCATTTGGCATTATGGCATTATTATTGCCATGTGGCATTATTTTTCTCTGGCCCAAGAAACTAAAGACCAAATTATCATTCTAATTCCAGAGAGGAAAACA